GCCAAATTGGGGCCTGACCCCAGAGGGACAGTGAAGGGAGTTACTATTGTTAAACCAATAGTTTATGGTAACGTTGCTCAATACTTTGGGAAAAAGAAAGAAGAAAATGGGCACACCCATCAGTGGACAGTGTAAGTAAAGCCATACAGAAATGAGGGTATGTCAGCATATGTGAAAAAAAACCAATTTAAATTGCATGAAAGTTATGGAAATCCTTTAAGAGTTGTTATTTAGCCTCCATATGAAATCACTGAAACAGGATGGGGTGAATTCAAAATAATCATAATGTTTTTCATTGACCCTAATGAAAGACCTGTAACCCTGTATCATTTAAAGCTATTCTAATGAGACACCAATATGATGTTGGGGGAAAAAAAGTTCAGAGTTCTATGATAAAATATTTCAAGATCCAATAGCAATGATTCAACAGTTATTTTTCCCCCGCACCCCCCGCAATTTTTTTTAAGGATTTTTTTTAATTTTTTTTTACTTTTTTTTTTTTGCTCTGAATGCCTTCAGGACAGGTTTGGCTGGCTTGAGTTGTGGGGATTGAACCACAGCAACCTGAGCCTGACTGCTTTGTTGAAGCAGCCACTTAAAGAACTGAGCTAAGGGGCAGGCCCCCTCAACAGTTAACAATGTCACATCAGCTAACTTTAGGGGCCTATAAGCACTAAACAGAATTTGCAGAACTTAAAGTGAAAACCAGAGAAAAATTAGAAACTGCCAAGAAAAAAAACAAGCTTTAAATTGCAGAGCTTAAGGAGAGATTGAAAGCAAGTCGTGAAACAATAAACTGTTTAAAAAATGAAATCAGGAAACTTGAAGATGATCAGACAAAAGACATGTAAGAAGTGCTGAAGAGAACCAGGTAGTGAGCTAATATGGCGAGCTTTATGGAGAAATGGGCTTAGCGCAAGTGCCGTGATGCGTCTTACAGGAACCGCATATATGTAGTTGTCACGCAGGATTTCTTGGCAATGCAGTGAAAATACTCTGTTCAGTCTTTAATGGAAGATGTAAGTATAATAAGAACAGATGCTATGTAGGACTCTTGCTGATCCATTTTAGGAAGATTCTATAATTAGGTTAAGCACAATTTTTGAAAATTTTTTATTGGTGTACACAAGTAGCTTATTTTCCTTTTGGCAAGCATCAAAATGTCATTAGCAATAAATAACCTGTATAAATTTGGTATTTCTGTAGTAGTTAGAATGGTAACATTCCAAGCATGTGTACTTGGTTTCCTCAAATCTTCATCTACCCATTTTACCTCTTTTGTATATAATGTGTCCCAATAGTAAGTAATAAATGTAGTATTTGGACCTGAAAAAAAATAAATAAAACAAATAAAGTCATTTACTACACTGATGAAATACATAGAAGCAGCTCCTCACATTACATAAAGACAGGCCACCATCACAATATGTTCTTGGCAAAATGTGAAAAGTGAATCAGGTAACAGCCTTTAGACCTCCAAGTTTTCAGTTAATACAAAGGACAAAGAAAAATGTTAAATAATATTATAAGGATACAAACATAAAACGTAGAATATTTTTAAATGTCATAGGATAATCTAGTTGTTTTTTTTTAATGAACACATTTAAAGAAAAAACAAAAAGGACAGTAACTATAAGTCGCAAGAATTAGAAGCCAAAGTAACAAGTTGTTTTAAAAAGTATGTGGGTTTTTAAAAAACATTACTTAGATGTTTTGAAGTTACACTGAAATATTTACAAACATTTGGGGATCTGCTCCAAAATACTTCAGTGGTGGAGGAGAAGTAGGTAGAGATAAAACAAGATAGGCTGAGTTCATAACGAAGTATAATGATGACTACAAGAGGATTCACTTACATAGATCTGAAATTTTGTTATAAAAATGTTTTTAAAGAATAGAAAAACAGGGGCCAGGGAGATGGCTCAGTGGAATAAGCACTTCCCTAGCAAGCGCAAGGGCCTGAGTTCAATCCCCAGTTCCACAAAAAAAAAAAAGAATAGAAAAACACAGAAAATATTTGCTGACAGTTGAACAGATATCATAAATAAAGTTGCCACAGTTCAATGGGAAAAATTCCCTTTTAATCTAGGCTTTTGCAGACATTGTCTATAAACTCTGACCTCAGAGCAGACATGCAAAAAGCCACATTAGCAAGACAGCAAGTTTCAGTTCTTCCTGCAGCTTCTCTCAAGAGACTCTTGCTGAAAACCCAAAGGCCTGCTTGGTTAAGTGCATGATCAACAGAAATCAACAATTCAGGTAAACACACAAACCACTGATGTGGTGGCCTCAATGGCCCATGCCTGGCTGTGGGATACAGATCTCCTAGGAAGGCCATATTTGGGCCTGGCCAAGTCCAGATCCTGTGAATTTTATATATAGACCTCAGCACTACTTAGAAACAGCAGCATCCCTGTGTATGTTTCACATAATACACCCTGGTTAGCATAGTCTTACAGCCACAGCTGATGGGTTAAGAGCATCTTAAGTGATAAAATTATGTTTCAAAGTCTACTGAGTAATTCAACTATTAGTCATACCATTTACCTTTACAGTGCACGATGCTATGAGGCATCATGTGACAAATCATATCTTTCTATAGTATACTGTCAGCAAAAGGCAAATTATTCAGCAAATTATTCAAGACACAGCCTAAAAGTAACACAGCAGCAAGGGATATAGCTCAGCAGTACGGTGCCTGCCTGGCAAGCATAAAGTCGTAAGTTCAATTCCCAGTACCAATAAACAAACAAACAAATAAATAAATGTAACAGCAGTGCAGTTGCCTGTTAAACAGCAAGAAAATCCTTTAGTGATGGCAAAATAACATTTAAAAAAAAAATTAAACACAGAAATACTCTATCTTCTCACTTTTGAAAGAAATATATTTCTTAGATGCCTACTAACAACTTTATGTTCCTGAAATCAGCATTATCACCTCATCATCTCAACTAATTAGTGGTGTCCAGAATGACGAATGTCTTAGATTACGAGGGTCTACATGCACCAAGGACAGAAGCTTTGTAGCAACAGAGGTAAGTGGTACAATCAACTCAGGGCAAAAAGCTGCCAGAATGAAGAATACCTACCCATGCCCGAACAGTTCTTGGGAGTACCTACGAGTTCTGGAGATCAAGTATACTGAACAACAGGTTAGTCTTTCAGTGTCAAGGATTTCTCCCCCAGTGTGTCCCAAGCACTCAGACTTCCTAGCAGATTGTAAGGTTTCAATAAACACTTATGGAATACTTCAGATGAGAACACAGACCAAAGCATTTTCTTTACTGCTAAGTGTTTCTTTACTGTAAAGTGCCACCAAATCTAGAGCATTAATACTAGCCAAGTATGGGGGAACATGCCTGTAATCCCAGCACGCAGGAGGCTGAGGCAGAAGTGAGTTCGTGGCCAGCCTGGGCCACACAGAGCTCAAGGTCAGCCTGAAATGCAGTGAGGCCCTGTCTCAAAACAAAACAAAACAAAAAAGTTCATCTTTTAGGCTCATTTAATCACAGCTTTACACAGAATTGAAGATTTCTTTAAAAATATTCTCATATTTATTCAGAGATTGATAGCAAAATATTAATTTCATAATGTCTAATGTAGTGACAGTTGTTATAGTACAAAGAATAATGGAATGGGGAAATATTACAGATGAGGTTAGAACAGTACAATCAGAGATAAAGGCTACAAATAAAGCAAAATAAAGCTGCTGAGACAGAAGCTCCCAAGGGGTGCAGGGAGTAGGGGGTGAGATCTAGCACGGAAGCAGCTGGCAGACTAAGAGCACATGATAAGATTTTCTCCAGGGGTACTTACAACATAAACACACTCTGGTATATTTGGGGTTACTGATTGCTTTGGGCCTGTGGTTCCACTACAGCCTAAGTTCCATGACAAGGTCTCACCTATCTCATTCACTATGGTACACTCAGCACCAACAGCACAGGAGGTAAAGAGAGGGTGTAGGGTGGGGGACAGAGAATCTGAGCTAATGATCTTTAGGCGGGATGGAACCCTCCAAAAAATGAGCTTTGGAGTTACCAACTTGTAACAAAATTCTGCCCGTGCTATTGGACTTGTTCAAGAGGTAGATTTGAACAACCCCCTGATGGTGAAAAACTCCCAGGCAGACCTGAAGCTCAGGATACTGTTTCCCTAAAAGATGGTAAGGAAAGCTTGCCACTGCTCGGACAGAAGGCACAAGCACCTGTGCCTTCCCAAAGCCCTGGATAAAGCTGGTCTTGTTCTCTTCCTGTGTTTGGCAGCACATGGAAAGAAAGTGGGCCACAGTACCATCCCACAGCCACAGCTGCACGTCTCCCAGCACTTCCCTAAAATGAAAGACACCTGTGTGGCAGGGCTCTCCTCCACACAGCGCCCTCACTGCACTGGGGGTTCCTGGCGATGCTGGGTCTTCTGGTGCCGGTTAAGGATAGACCTCTGGTTGAAGCTGCGCCCGCAGGCCAGGCAGTGGTAGGGCTTCTCACCCGTGTGGATCCTCTGGTGTCTGACCAGCCGCTCCCCTTTGCTGAAGCACTTCCCGCACACCTGGCACCCATACGGCTTCTCGCCTGTGTGAGCACGCCGGTGCACAGCCAGGTTGGCATTCCTGCTGAAGCTCTTGCCGCACTCACACGTGTATGGCTTCTCACCAGTGTGCATCCTCCGGTGCACCTGCAGGTGCTGCCTGCGACTGAAGCTCTTCCAGCAGTCCCCGCACTTATAGGGCTTCTCCCCAGTGTGGCTCCGCTGGTGGACCTCCAGGTGGTGTCTCTGGCTAAAGGTCTTCCAACACTCATTGCACACAAAGGGCCTCTTTCCCAGGTGGGTCCTCTGATGCTTCATGAGGTACTCCCTCAGGGTGAAGCCCTTTCCACACTCCACACAGCCAAAGGACTTCTCCTCATGGGTTCGCCGGTGTCTAACAAGATTGTAACTCCGGCTGAAGCCCTTGCCACACTCACGGCACTGGAAAGGCTTCCAGGAATTGTGAGTTTTGAGGTCACTGGGCAGGGGGACGCTGTGCTGGGAAGCAGGAGGTACTGGCAGGCCACCCCCAGACGCCGTGGGCTCCTGGGGATCACAGGCTTGTCCCAGGCCAGGACCCTGGACAGCCGTTTCTCCAAACCTCTCTGAAGTCAGCCCAGCAAATGCCCCTTTAAGGTCTTCCTGCTGGGATTTTTCCTCCTTTTCCTTGCTCCCAACACCTACAGGAGAAAGGAGATCAAAAGTGACTCCTTGGTGACTAAGAAAATGTACACATTAGAACTCTGCTTCCATACATGTCCCAGTTTATGGAACTCCTTTTTTTGCTTTCCCTTGACCAACAATCTCAACACCTTTCACATTCAGACACTAAATTCAGACCTTCTGTTAGTTCTTCCTACCTCTCTGCCCTTTTACAGAAGAGTCTGACAAATTTTAATGCCCTCCCACTTAACTTTCTGCTAATTTAAACTTTCAATCCCTTCAAAATCTAAGTTGGTGGTTTCCTGGTTATTCTTTTCCCTGGCCTTTTCTGCATTGATACAGTAAGGTGAGTTATTCTGCACTTATTTATGTGTGATGTCACTGCGAACACTAATTTACATTCATTGATATGTTCTGCCTTCCCCTAATGATTACAAAGCCATCCCAGCTACAGGACAGAAGTCCTCAAGTCATTCAGCTCCCCAGCCCTGCACACACTGCTCCTGCCACCTAACTGGGATCCAGGAATCTAGTCTGGAGGGGGACTTCCAGGAGACACTTGCTAAATGCTGGCTAAATAAATGAACTTAGTCTGTCCACACAGCTTTACCTGCAGACCACCTCTATTCTGGGTGGGACTAAGCACCCCAATTTGACCTTTCTGTCCTCATTCTGATCTTTTATGCTCTCTGTAAGTTAACAGAACAGATTTTCACAGAGAATAAGGAAAAGACAAAGAAGAAAAACAGGAGAAAATATGCTGGGGAACAAAGAATCCAAGAGAAAATAAAACCATTAGAAGATGAAACGAAACGGGTGTTACAGGTACACTGGCTGATAAAATATGAAGTACACTGCTATTACTTCTGATTTATTCTTTGTTTCATAAACCTTTATATGTTGTTATTATGAAAATTCTTTCAACTCTACGTTTGTAAAAACAAACGTAGAGTTGAAAGAATTTTCATAATAACAACATATAAAGTTTCCAGAACGGTACAGATGGAGACAGAGCCTTACCTGGAGAGATCCCACAGTCCTGAGGTTCCACATATTCCCCAAAACAGTCAATCTGGGCTGGGGTTACATGTCTCCACTCCTCCTCAGGGAAGGCTAAGGCCATGTCTTTAAAGGACGCCAACCCCTGAAACAATATTGTGCATAAATAAGGATCCCTAAAGAGCAGTCTACCAGCAGCAGTGAACACAGTAAACAGAGGACTGAGCAGAGCAGGAAGGCACAAGGAATCTGCCCCTGGATGGCCTAGGAGCAGAAGCATCCACCACCCCACAATTTAAGGAAAAAGAACTGGGGTTTTATGGGTTTTTGTTTTGTTTTGGTTTTGTCTGTTTGTTTTGAGACAAGGGCTCACTATATAGTTCAGGCTGGCTTTGAACTCACTGGAGGCAATCCTCCTGCCTACCCTCCCAAGGGCTGGAATTACAGGCATGCATCACCACGCCCAGCTTAAGGCAAATGCCTCATGTCCCTCAAGCCTCATCTTAAAGAACAGCACCATAATAAAGGAAACGTGCTCTCGCTTTCTCATTCACTATATCATAAAGAACCACTCCGGTAAAAAAGGAAGATCCGGCAGAATGCAGAGGTGGACATCATTCCTCACCCTCTGCAAACTGTTCCCTTGGAAAACAAGAGGAGGAAATGGAGCAGCATCAACCCTTGCTCAAATATGGCTGTATCTCGGTCAAGCTTAACTTACCTTTTTTCTACCTTTTAATGCCTTTCTTACCTTTTGAATGCCTTTTCTTCATCAAGCCCTTTACGACCCTTCCCCTTCACAGAGGTGCCCCTCTAGGAACCCACCTCCCTAGCAGCACTCAACACCCTATGCAAGAGGTTTAAACTGTGGCAGGAGTACCCATCTCTACTCGCATCACCCCCAGGCAAGGCAGGTCTACCAGTGCTACCAAGGCCCCAACTCCTGGACTGGCAAATGCGTGCCCAAAAATACTTCACACTTGGCCAGCTGCCTCTCTCTGACATCAACAGAGGAAGAGTAATAGCAGAAGCAGCTACAAAGAGTACCACCTGTAGGGCAACCACTAGAGCCAAGAAGACATGCCTATGAAAACTTTCTCACTGTCTTCCTCGTCATAAAGGGAAATACCACTGTGTCACTCTGTGACAAGGGCCAGATGTGAGGCTCAGTGCAGATTAACAACTGAAAGATGGTGGCAAAGTGGAGAACACAACACAGCCATGCCATCAGCACTAGCAAGGCAGTGACTCAACTTTGTGGATGGCATTTTGCTGTGCAGGTAAGCCTTGGGGAGGCTTCATCTCTTCAAAACATCATGTGGTCTCTAAGAGGGCAGTCACAGCTCACCTGCGATCCTGCTGTAAGAAACCCAGCTGTCATCTCTTGGTCTCTGGTGCCCAGTGAGGGAAGGCTGGGACCTGCCTGAAGAATCCGCAGTGCTGAGGAAGGACAAAAGGCAGGGAAAGGATCAACACTATCATCAGTTTGCCCAAAGGCACCCCACCCACCCATCCTACCACAGCCTCAGCCTAGAGATTTCAAACAGAATCACTTTAGAGCCACATGGACCCACACAGAGCAATCTAAATGTTACCTGACCTAATCTCAGCTGAGGAAACAATACCAACTCTGCCCTTTCATGGTTATTCATGTCCCCTGACCTTACTTCAAGATGACCTCCTTTGAGATTCAGTAACAGAAGAAAATCCCACATTATTGTGAGACATGTGCTTTGCCCCCTTAGTAAATATTTCCACTTGTCAGCTGCATATCTCTGGCTATTTCTAGAAGGATGCATGGGACAGGAGAAGAAATGATAAGAGAACATGATTCCCCAGTCATATCCTCCAGAAATCAGAATTGAGGTGAAGAAAATTTCATCTGTGTCCTACTGAGGTCAACGAAGTAGGCAGAAAAATTCAGAATTACACCAAGCAGGAGTTTATCCACTGCTGGGTTTCTGAAGCAAATGAGTGGGAGGATGACTGCAGAGCAGTGCTCCATGCTTTCCAGGCTTGCTGTCTGCATCTTACCCTGCTCCTGGAAGGCCTGGGTCCCGTCTCCAGGGTGCTGGCTCAGTTGCTCCTCGGTGCTCTGGTCTAAGCCTTGAACTCCTTCCTCATGAGGCATCCCCCACTCAGGCTTCACATCCACTGGCCCCAGGGGGACACCTGGCTCCCAAGCACCTCTGCTGGTGACTGTCTCCTGCTGCTCTCCCTGCACATGGCATGGAACCTAAGAACAGTTCCCAAAACCAGTTAGAATGAGGCTTGGTGAAGGCTATGAAGAGAACTGAATTAAAACCTAAAAAGAGAACTAAGAACCATTCTGGCTTTGGAGAAGAGGAAAGAAAACCCAGCTGAGTTTCTCTCAAGGATATAGGTGACAAGGTAAAACAGGCTAAAATCCCTTTTGCAGGCCCTGGGCAAATGTATCTATCCATGCCATTGGACTAGGGTCCTTCTGTTTGCCTTGACACTCATCAAATTTCCCATACCAGCACAGAGCCCAAAGATTATCCTGCTGAGCATTTTAACACTACGTATTCACTAGAAAACAAATTTTCCAGCCTCAGAAGCTAAAACCTTAAAAATGCAAAGCCTATACTCTGTAGCAAATTAGACAGTGAGAAACAGCTACTCTACATAAAGCAAGGGCAGCCAGGAGGCCTCCCATGCTGAGACACACTCACAAAACCAAGGCCCTTCCTTGTCAACTCTCAGGATCCTGAGTTAGAAGTAGAAAACAAGTTCTCTTAGACTCCACAGAGACAGGAAGGAAGGGATGATGGTAGTATAGAAGGGAGGCCAGACTACAGAATGCCTAGGATTTGGGGACTTGCCCTCCTTTCCCAGCCCTCAGTCATATGACTGTACCACAGTGATGGGAACATGGCCACAGTGTCAAGGCATTATCCGGGGGAGGGGGGTATAGTCAGCTGGTGTCATCAGAGCACCACCACATAATCACTCCAGAAACCCTACGAGCCAGTGTTCCAGACATGGAAACTGCAAAGCCACAAACAACTCATGGGAAAAGTATTCACCAAGTAGGATTCCCTGCATTCCCACAGGCAGCTCCCCCAAAGCGGGGCTGGCTCTATAAAGGGCCCTGGAAACAATCATAACTGCCTTCTTTAGGCATGAGGCTCAGCAAGGAAATAGAGCCAGCCTCTGCTCGGATTCCCAAAGAGCTGGGAACACCTCCTTTACTCCCACTGTTTCTTCAAGCCTCTTCATTCTTTAATTCCCACACCACCAGTACAAGACCCAGATACCCTCTTCTCACCCACCGCCTTGGTGTCCAGCGTGTTGTCAGTCAAGGCCTGCACCATAGCCACCAGGGCCTTGCCGCTTTCCGGGCTGTGTTCTCGAATCCAGGCATAGAACTCTCGGGGCAGGATGGTGAGGAACTGCTCCAGCACTAGCAGCTCCAGGATCTGCTCCTTGGTGTGCAGCTCAGGCTGCAGCCACCGGCGACAGAGCTCTTGGAGTTCCCTGAGGGCTTCCTGGGGACCTGCTGCTTCCTGGTAACGGAACTGCCGAAACCTCAGACGAAAAGTCTCAGGACTAGAATCTTCCTGTCCCCTGCCCCACAGCAACTCTTTCTCCAGTTTCACCACAGGAATATCCATTCGATGCTGAGGATCTTCCGCCATCCCTGGACGCTCTTTAAGCATCTTCACACTCCCTCCCCAAAGACTGAAGATGACAGCACAAATGAGCCTTTTGAGAACATGAAACACACAAAGGTTGGTCCTATGCCTACACTAGTGAATATTCTGTTGGAGAACCTGCTACAAGGTATTTTTTTTAAAAGGATGAACATATTTCCTAATGGCCATGTCAATTAAACACAGAATTTACAAAAATCACTATTGGGTACAAACTATGTATAAGATTTATCACCCAGAAATGATTAGGATCTCTTTGAGATGATAACTCTACAACAGGAAATAGTATAAAATGGGTTACGATTAAGTTAGTACCAGGGCCCACTCTTTCAACACTAAAGGAAACATACATTCAACATACAGATACACAGTCATGCACTGCATATTATGACAGTAGACCCATAGGATTATAACAGCTGAAAAATTCCTGTCGTGTAATATCAGTTTGCTTGATAATAATATACAACTATGCTACTGGCTAAATATTTACTGTATTATGCTTTTAATCATGTTACAGTTGTGCTCCTCCTACTTATTCAAAGGTTCACTCTAAGACAGAATACTCTGCTTTGCCAGTAGCAGCTTCATATAGTACTGTATTTCTTGATTGAACCACAAGGCCATGTTAATTAACCTAGACTATCTAGGTCAGGTAAGTCTATTCAAAGGTGTCTACACAAGAACGTATTTCTCTGACCATGTCCCTATCATTAAGCAATGCATGCCTTTCTCAGTGTTTGTGTGTGTGTGTGTGTGTGTGTGTGTACCCTCTCAAACATGGAGAGAATAGTGCCTGCCCTCTTGAAGTTCATATTAATGCAGCTGACAGAAAAAGCAAATACACAGAAACTGCAAGCAGAAAGAAGTTCTGGGAAGGAAATAACTGGTGGGTTCATGGGGCCAATGGACTTGGATCAGACTTTTCTAAAGCCATGATACTTAGCCCACAAATTAAAGGAAGACTGTGAGACAGTCATTCAAAGAGTACTCTAGGAAAAAGCCTTGAGGTTAGAAATTACTTTCCATGCCTTGGAATAGGATGGGGTGCTCAGTCTAAAGGCAATGGAGCCAAGGTGTGCCTCCCCAAAATACATGGGCTGATGTACAGATATACAGATAGATGAAACATGAGAAGTTTAAAAAGAAAAATGATTAATGTAAGTTCAAGTATTCCTGAGGAACAGGTTTGTAGTAGATGGAAAATGAGTCCTATTTACCTCCATGGGGAATGGGAAGAGGGGGGCAGGAAGGTCGTCGTAGGCTAGGGAGACCCTAAATCCAAACATCACCCTGACTGGTCTAGAGAATAAACAAGTGACAGAGGCACGCCCTAAACTTCTGCTAAATATTTTTTGGTTGTGTATTTATACATACATACACACACACTTTAAATCGATTTTGCACTTTCAGTCTACAGTACCCATTTTCTCTGTTGCATCCTGATTTCTCTTTCATGCCTTTCTAGCTGTTGCATCTGCTCATTCCCACTAGTGCATTTAGTGTACTGTAGTGCCAATGTTTAACAGTGTCTCCACGCACCAGATTCCCTTTTAGGCAAGAGAAGTCCTCATCCTCCATCTCCAGCACGGGACAAATAGAAGGTTTTTTGTGTTTTTTTTTTTTTTTTTTTTTTTCTAATGGCTGTTCTACGTCCTATTCTACAATGATTACTTTCACTTCTATCGAGAAGAGTTCAGCCCCAGTTCAAGCTCTCTCGGGTTCGCGGACATCCTGCGTTACTTAGGCCGAGCATGGCGGCGCAGGATGAGCCTCGCTCCTACCTGAGCCTCCAAAGGCGCGGCCCACCCGAGTCGCCACCCGCACCGCCTCGCACCACAGTCGCACCGCAGCCCGCCCGGAAAACCGCTGCCCGCCGCGATCACAGTGCCTGCACCAGGCTCTCACCCGCGAACCCGCGGCCCGGTAGCCCGGCACGCGTTCTGGGATCCTCCGAGCCCTCCGCGGACAGGAAGTGAGTAGCGGACACCGTCAGCCAGGTGCGCACGGAGAACTTTCCTTCCGTCTCCTCTCTAGGACTTCGGAGGTCTCAGAGGTGCATCTCGATGGTCGCGGTGAGCGTTCGTCGTCTGCTGGACCGACTGTCCCCTCGAGGCTGTCGGTCGTTGGCTCTTTTCTACTTGTGTGCCTTTGCCCCTCTTTTTCCTCCGTGGAGAGGACTCGGTGTATGACCAGATACACGATTGGACAACGGTGCCTTGCGCTTAATGCACCATACGAGGCTTTGGGGAGAGAGCGGTGGTGGAAGAAGTACTGGACAGTATGGGTTCGCGTAATGTTTGAACACCGGGCTGTGTGCGTGTGTGTGCATGTGTGTTGCAATCAAGGGAGGCTTCCCAGGGGAGCGGGCCCCTCGCCACGTTGTAAAGGATGTACCCAAAAATACCAGAGAAAGCACAGCAAGGCCAGAGTGCGCAGGGGGGAAGTCTCATCAACTGTCCCTGTTGTCTCTCTTCCTGTCTAATAGATCAATCAGTCGTCTCACTTCCTGACCTCCTCCCCTCTTGGTTAATCTTATTCAGGGTTTCTCCGAAGCATCTTTCAAAAATTTGTTCCTTGTCCTGAGTGATAGGCCAAGTAGCTACTGGTTCTAGTGGCTCTGGCGGAATGGAAGTGGGAAGGACGGAGTCAGCAGCTGGTGAATGACAAAGGGGACATCTCTTAAGAATAGACTTCTATTAAGTAGAAAACCCGTTGGTCATCCGGAAAGACACAATATTAGGTCCATATCTTGCCACCACAGGCCAGGGCAAATATTGCTACAAATGGATGAAAGATTAAACTATAGGGCTGGTGAGATGGCTCAGTGGTCTAAAGCACCTACTTAGAACAAGCTTAGCAAAGCACAGGGACCGTGGTTCAATCCCCCAGCACCACATGCCAGCCAGCCCCGCCCCCTGGTGGGCTGAGCTGGCCACACACACACACACACACACACACATAAATAAAATAAATAAATTTTTTTAAAAAAAAGATTAAACTATAAAATATGAAACCTGTATGAGTATCAAAAGAAAGCGGGGTGTGGTGGCTCATGCCTATAATCCCAGCACTCAAGAAGCTGAGGCAGAAGTGTCTCCACAAGTTCACAACCAATCTGGGCTACATAGTGAGTTTACAGCCATCCTGAACCACACAGTGAGGCCCTGTCTCAAAAGCTAAATAATAATAATTTATGAAGTGTCAAAACATGGAAGAACTATTTTATAACCTTGAAAGGAGAAACATTTTGCTAACTAATACTTAAAACAAGATACTAGGGGGCCAAGGAGATGGCTCAGTAGCATAAGCGCTTGGCTGGCAAGTGCAAGAGCCTGAGTTCAATCCCTGGTTCTGAAAAAAAAAAAAAAAAAAGATGCTAGGAAAGACAAATGTCACTGTATCAGTAGAAAATTTGGTTGAAAACTTTTGCTCAGAAAAATATAAGCAAACTCAACAAACCATGGAGAAAATATATCACAGGTAAAGGATTAATTTCACTAAGAGATGATGAGTGTCTAGGATTTAGAAAAAAAAAAAAAAAAAGGCCAACAACCCAGGAGGAATGCAAACTCCTAGAAAAGAAATTCAAATACCTACTAAACATAAAAAATATATTAAATTTAACTCATGAGAAAATCAGATTAAAATAATATTAGGACACCATCTCTTATTCAGTATTTTTAAGTTCAAAAGATTGATACAGTCTCTCGGTAAAACTGTGGAAGGAAAGCTAATATTGCTTAAAATTATAAAAGCATTTACTCTTTGACCTAGGAAATCCTGTGAACTTATCCTATACGTATAAATGCACATGAGTAACCATTCGTACTTGGTTACTCATTGTAGCATTGAGGCACTGCAAAAGAGCGGAAACAGGGGCCAGGGAGGTGGCTCAGTAGAATAAGGACTTCCCTGGCAAGTGTAAGGTCTGAGTTCAATCCTGAGTTCCACCAAAAGAGTGGAAACAACTCATGAGCACATTGATTAAAAAACTGGATAAATAAACAATGATACAGCCACATAATCCAGCACTCTGTGGCTATAAACAGGAAGATAACATTAAGATATATTAAAATATATTAAATAAGAAAAACAAGGTGCTGAAAGTATAAAGTATATAACTGTCAGGATTATAATGTGTATATCTGACTAATGTATATGATAAAAGATAGAAAAAAGAACATTTTTTGTTTGTTTATTTCAGCCCCAAGAAACAAAAAATGACCTTATCTAAATGTCACCTAAATGGTTGGGATCTGCAAAAGCTACAACTCTTGTTGCATAGGTCTTGCTTTATCTTGGTCTTAACCATCCAGCAGAAAAGTATAAAAACAAAGTATAAGAAGTAAAGCCATGCTGTTATGTTGAGCTGTAGGGGACTCAGGTCAACAACTTCTGACATTGCCAGTCAAGCAGAAGACCCAATACTATTATGGACTATTGGACTATTTTGGAATATTTGGCTGAGTTCACACACCTAGAATATTTAAATGACAGAACTAAACAAAAAAAGGGGATACAGATGAATGACCATTTTGTATCTGTGTATTAAAAATGGTTAGGATAGATGTATACTTACATTCTCTTAATGAATAGAGGGATTTGTTCTAATAGTGTTTGTAAATATGATATCATGTCTGCATCTTGTACAGCAAATAACCACTTGGAAGAGAATATGCAATGTGTTAATTATTGAAACTGTCATACCAATTTGATTTGAAACTGTCTCATTGCTATATGTCTCTCAATAAAATTATGGAAGAAAAAAAAAAGAATTTTCCCCCAGAAAGATAAATAAATAAATAAATGGTTGGGATCTGAAATGTCCCCCACAGGCCTAGATGCTAAAACCTTGGTCCCCAGCTTGGTACACTTGGGAGGTGGTGCAGTTGAAGAGGTAAAGCATGGTAGGAGATCCTTCACTCATTGGGGATGTGCATCTGAAGAGGTAGGTGGCACCCCAGCCCCTTCCTCTTGCTCTCTTTTCTTCCTGGTGCCACAAAGTGAGCAGCTTGCTCCATAACGCACTCCCCACCATAATGTGATGCCTCCCTTCAGGCCCAAAAGCAGTGCAGCCAATGAATCATGGAATGGACCCTACAAACGTGCAAACCAAAATGAACATTTTCTATCATAAATTCATTATCACAGGTATTTATTATAGTAATAGGACCCTAGTTAATATACCTAGAAAACAAAAAAGTAATTACATATAGCAATCAGAACACACATGTAGACAGAAACAAAAGAAAGAGAAAGCATTCTGAATGTATGCCCATTTATATTGTTTAATTATGTATCATATGGATATATTTATGACCTATTCAAAATTAAATGTAATTTTTTAAATGTTACGCGTGGAGCCCTAGTTTAATTGACTCAAGGGCCGGAGATATAGCTCGGCAGACTAAGCGCTTGCTTAGGTAAGTATCAGGGCCAGGGTTCGATCCCTGGCACCACAAGTCACACTGGCCCTACCTCTGGGTGTGCTGAACTGGTGATGGAGTCTGGGGGTGGTGGCACAATCCTGTTATAGAAATACAGATATGAAACAAAAGCCTAATGTCCCAAGGGAGCAGGAAGCAATAGGCAGAGCCCAAGGAGAGCAGCCGTCTCTCACTTGTAAATTCCCAGCAAGCTGGGATTCAAGGCTGCAGGCAACAGATTCCCCTGAAGGCGCCCTGTTCTTTGATCCCTTGCTTGGGATGTTATCAGCTAGCATTTGTGTGGATCTAGTGTTAGGCAAATGGTGGAGGTCAGTAGAGATAGTAGTTTGTATTCACTTAAGTAATTATGCACATTCCTTAGCCTGCCTTTAGCCCTCAATAAATGTGAGATGCTTTTGAGGCTCTGGGCTCTCTTGGAGACTAATCTCAGTGAGACCTCTGAAGCTATATTCATCATGTCCTCTCATCATTTCTTTCAGCACCAACCCATAACATACAACTCCTGTAATCCCAGCACTAGGGAGGCAGAAATCAGGAGGATCACTAGGAGTCCAAGCTGCATAGTGAGACCCTGCACACACACACAAAAAATCCTTAATTGACTCAGAGGTAGGAAGAGATGCAGGTTGGGAGCTGAGCAGATGCTATAATCTGAATTAGAGAAAACAAGAAGAGGTGAAGTTGAAGGGTAAAAATAGTGGATTGGTTCAGTTTAGGACATATTAAATTTGAAGTGCTTCCATTTGTTACAGGAAAAGTTCTGGGTAACTCTGGGAGAAGCAGGGCTAAAGATGTGGAAATCATTAGTATGTCAGTAGAAGTTTACACCAGATTATTGGAGGAGTTCACCCAAGAGAAGACCTGTACAGGGTGCACATGTCTGTCCAGGAATATAATTCAGCAGCCTAACCACCTGCCTGGCAAGCAAAGGTCCTGAGTTCGATCCCTGGTATAAATAAAAATAAAAATAAAAGAACAACATGAACAAGATGAAGAAAAGCGTGCATGTTTTTGAAGAATGTAAAGAGGTGACATGCCTGAAATTGCTCAGGTAGTTTGGGAGAAGAGTGACCCATTAAATTTGACCTAAAACTGTTTGTGTACTTGGGTGACAAAATTTGGCAACATGGCTGGCACCTTATGTAATGAACTGCAACCTAATTCAGCAAGTAAACTCAGTATGAAAACAAGTCTTTTCATATAAGAGAAAACTGAATCTCATCCAATCACAACAGTCAGCATCAGCTAATCACAGGCACCAACTGCTCAGACCATGTCCTATAAGGCAAATACCTCCTCACACCATGCCCATGTAAGGCAAATGCTGAAGACAGCTAATCAGGATGTTTCTATAGGTCACTTCCTTTTTTCTGGCTATAAATGTAACCTGCACTGCGGTCATCTGAGGCCTTCCAAACCAGCTTCATTCTGGAATGCTACCAGTTCCAGAACCTTTTCTTGCTCAAATAAACTTTGTTAAATTTAACTGATCGCAGAATTTTTTTTTTTTTTTTAAGCAGGAATCAAAGTCAACCTCACACTTGCCAGGCAGGCACTGTTCTGCTAAACTATAATCCCCAGCCCTCAGGTTTTGTTTTGTTTTCTTAAATGAACTGGTCAAATGTTCCAGGCCAAAACAGCACTCTCTTCTGCACTTAGCTATGAGAGTCCTTGGATTCCTTTGCCAAAGTAATTTTGAGAAGGTATGAGGACAGAAACTAGACTGAGAAAATGAAGTCACATGTAGAATTCTCTTCCAAGAAGCTAGCCAAAAAGGACAGGGAGAGAGAAGGAGGAGAATAAAGAGGAAGTGTGGGAGGAGAAGAGGAGGAGAGGAGGAGGGTAAAGAAGAAGAAGAGAAAAAAAGAAAGGAAGGAAGGAAAGAGGAAAAGCAGGCAGGCAGGAAGGATGGAAGGG